ATATATATATATATATTAGTATATTTTGAAGAATATATATTACGTCGATTTTGATTTATATAAATGAGGTATCAAATACTTAGATTAATATAAAATTCTATATAAATAATTGAAATGAATTTTTTTTCTTTAATCTAATGGTGAATTTTGAGAAAATATCATTCAATCGAAAGTTATTAACTAGTATAAAAATTGATAAGTAATTTGATCTCTCCTCATTTTAAAAAACACTTATCAATTTTTAAAATTCTTTTTTCAACATATTTCAAAGTGCTTTTCTCTTGACTATACTTTTATTTTCTCACAAAACAGGCAAAGATAATAAAACATCTATGAATTTTTACTATATGTTTTAAACACTTGTTTTAAAAGCACAATTTAAAACTTAATAGATTATACCTGAGAAAATGGTTATTCAGAAGTGTGAATTTATTTTATAATATAATTTTTTTAAACAAAACAAAACAAAACAAATAAATAAACAAGTCCTAAGTTTAAAGTTGAAAATTCTTGGAAATGCTTCTTTGTTCGTTTTACCATTTGCAAAGATAAATTGGTTTTGTGGAATTAATGTGCCAGCAGATCTCAATTTTTTTGTGGGAAACTGCACAATGCCCAAAGTTGAGAACAAATACTGAAAATTAAAACATTTTGAAAATTGAATATTAGAATCATAATGGACCCTTCAATTATTTCCTAATTGCCTTCATCTTTCTTTTACTTCATTGGATTTTTGGTGGTATAACTTCATTGCTTAACTGAGTATTTTATTTTCAATTGGAAAATCCACGGTTGAGAAGGGCTTGTGGTTAATCTTAGATGTGTTTCAACAGGAGAAAGTTCAAAGACATTGGAAGAATCTTGAGCCTTTGTTTTCAATGGTCGAATCAACAATATCAAGGAGGGAGTCTTTGCAGACTAAGCCAAATGTCAATTTGCTTTCATCAAGAATTTCCAACCCTTTATGTAAGCTCAATGGTTTCTCTAAGGGTATGGTAGAGAAGGATCGCATAAACAATGTAGACTTATCATTGGCAAAAGGCAATAGGATTCCGCACAAGGAAAAATTACCACCGTATACATCTTGGGTATATGTGGCGAGGTGTGTTTGAATTTTAATTTTCATAGACAAATTTTCTATCTATATATTTCAAATGTACACCACATACTATCAACATGTTATTAGTCTAAATGGTATTAGTCTTGATCCTCCTAAATAAAGTCTTTGGTTCAAGTTTTATATATAAAAAAATTTGATTCAGAGGAGATATCTCATTAAAGATGATCAACCAAATTCTTTAATGAAAATTAGTCATTGATGAAATTAATGGATATTTTGTATTAATATAATATGGTTATAAAAGAAAATTTGCAATGCACTTTTCACTAAAGCAAAATTCACACACTTCTTGTATTTTCTTTTAAATAGAAACTTCCACGTTTAATATTATTGATAGATTCATACGCAGGTTATGTTTACATATTTTCTGATATTTTTAATTTTTAAACGCTGTACAGAAATGAAAAAATGGCTGAAGATCAATCAGTTATTGGAAAATACCAAATGTACTACGATAAAAACAAAGGTGAAATGGTGATATGTAGTGACAGTGAAGAAGAGATAGAGGAAGTTAAACATGACTTCACGGAGATTGAAGACCAAATTCTGCGGTAAATTAAAATGCAGATATTGTACTTGCATGTAGATCAGTTCTATTTGATTATGAGGAAAAATGAAATTACAAGAGCTAGAGATCCTGGTTGCAATTTTTGTTGTTGATCGTATAAATTCTTTATTTACATATTTGTTTGCTGAGTAAGATATAAGTTTTGTTGGACCTCTAGCGGTTTTCCTTGCATAGTAAATAGAACCTTTATCATCACACAATATTTTTACATTTAATACCAACTTTAAATTCATTATTCACTGTTTTTTTACTTCATTATAATTTTTGAAGCTTCGATATTCTAAAATCACTATATTGTTGAATATATTAGGATGACACTTGAGGACTACGAGTCTACTCGGAAGGTCTTAGGTGTTGTTAAAGAGTCCATTAAAACTACTGATTCACAAATTCAGGTAATGTAGAATAAATTATGCACTTGATGGTTGTTAATGCTAATTAATTATTGTAAGCTAAGTTTCACCTAGGATATTTTGTGCAACCATTTTTATGTTTAGAGATTTTTTTCCCCATCAAAATATGCAGGAGAGGTATGAAAAGCTCAAGGAAAAGAATAATGAGATTCTAGATCAAAACACTGAACCTTGTGATTGTAAAGGATGTGAATCTCATATTGGAATATGTCTGGAGAAAAGCTTGAGTGATAATTTAGAAAATTATGATATCCTCTTCTGTCGTCAGTGCTATGTAAATACTAAAACTCATACTTCTAATATTATTGTCATTGCCATGCATGGTGTATAATATGATATTAATTTTTTGTGTGTCTATCTATAAACAGATCTTTGATTGTCCTGTGCATGGCACTAATCAACCTCTAATATATCCTGTAAGGAACAATTCTCTTTATTGTTTTCAACTTAATTTGTGTTACCAACTCTATTAATTAAAACGTCAATATGATGATTTACTTCACAGAGTGAAAAACAACCAATTTGGTTTGAGCCTGAAGGTAGCAGGAAACCATGCAGTGATCAGTGTTACCTTCTGGTATTCTTCTTTTGTGTTTGAGATTTTAAGTAACTTTTATATTTTCAAGCTAGGGCCAAGGAAGAATATAGAATTTTTACTTGTTTTCAATTTCAAAAAATATGTCTGTTTAATCAGAACAAGGGAGTTGTTGATGGGCAAAAAGATCTCACAAATGAGATACAAGCTAATCAGTTGTCCAATTCAATGGAAATGCAAGTTGATGAGACAACAAATAACTCAAATTGGAAACCTCTGGAGATAGATTTATATTTGAAGGGCCTAGAATTGTTTGGAAAAAATAGGTACGAAGTTCTTCACACTTGAAAACAATTGGATCTTGTTAAGTAATTAGGCTGTTACAATTTTAATTTTTTTATGTGTTATTATATTTTTAAATATTCTCTATGTTTATTTTACATGCACTAACAATATTTAATTTCAATTATATCTTTAAATATTCTCTAAAATTATTTATTCTCCATTTACTACTGATTTTATAAATCATTAAAAGAGAATAAAAATTTATAAGTTTTTAGTTATTAAAAGAATATAAAAAAATATAATCTTTAGTTATTTTATTATTATTATTATTATTATTATTATTATTATTTTATAGACAATTTTATCTTAATAATACATTTAAATTTTTTTTTAAACGACTACTCTGATGGCTAATTTAACAATAATGTTTATATATCACAAGTAATTAATTGTATTTTCATAATATATATAATTAAAACCAGCATTTTGTATTTTCCTATTTTTTTTCTTTGATTTTTATATCCTCATTTTACTATAAGAAAACATATATAATATGACTTGAACCTGAGTATTTTTCTTATAAATCTTTTATCGAAATGGAAATACTCATTATTCTATTGGACAGAACCTGTACAATTATTTTTTTACATTGTTCAAAATTTTATCGATTAGTTAATCCGTTAACTAAATCTTATATTTTATTGTAACATTAATTTATATTCCAGTATTTTTTTGATATGATTGTTAAAAATAATCTTTCTTACTATTATATAATATATGTATTACAAGCATTATAATCAAGGCTAAAAACCTATTTTAGTCCCTTATAATCTTTTTTTGTTTCAATTTAGTCCCTCATTAATTTTTTGTCTCAATTTGGTCTTAAACTAATTAATTGGTTTCAATTTAGTCCCATATTAATTAATTGGTTTCAATGTGGGACTTTCAGTCCAAATTGCTTTAATGGTGTTAACTTTTGGCCACGTGGACGCCACGTAGATGCATACGTGGATGCCACGTGGATGAGAATTTTTTTTGAAAACACCTGGACCCAGAACGGCCCGTTCTGAAACCGGAACGGGCCGTTCTGGGTGCACTTTTGGTGTATCAATTTTGCATCCGGAACGGCCCGTTCCAGGTGCAAAATTAACACATTGAAAATGTAACCAGAACGGCTCGTTCCGGTTTCAGAACGGGCAGTTCCATTTTTTTTTATATATAAAATATTAATAATTTTATAAAATATATATTATTAATTATATTTTAATTATGTTATTATATCTAATAAAATAAATATATTAATATTTTTTTATATTTTATTTTATTATGTTTATCTTATTAATTTTTATCATTTTATTCCTTTAATCTTAAATAAGTTGCAAAAAATTATAAAGTGATATTCCTTTTATCTTATTAATTATTATATTTTTTAATAAAATTAATTAAGAATATTGGTTTAATTGCATTTTTTATCCCTCAAGTATTACAATTGTGCAGTTTTGTGATCTCCAAGATTTTAATTGCATAATTTTAGTCCTTAAAGAATTACAATTGCGTGATTTTGGTCCTTCAATTTTTAATTGAACAATTTTAGTCCCTCAAATATCATAATAGTATGATTTTTGTTTCTCCCATTAAAAATTAATAATTTTAATATATATATATATATATATATATAATGTTTTAAAATTAAATAATTATTTATCTATTCAAATTAACGTATATTATAATTTTCGATATTATATCAATAATATTATTAATATATTTATAGATAAACTAATAATTTGATAAATATAACTTGTTATATATTAATATACTTTTACAAAAATATAAGTATATTAATTAGAAATATATATCTGATCTTATATATTTATATTTTTGTAAAAGTATATTAATATATATTAAGTTATATTTATCAAATTATTAGTTTATTTATAAAAAGGGTAAAAATATTATTGATATTAATTTATCAGTAATATTAAAATACTAATAATATATAAATTTTATTTATTTAGTAATAGTAAATATATATCATTTGATAACTTAAAAAAAAATAATATACGTTAATTTAAATAAACAAACAATTATATAGTTTTAAAACATTATATATATATATATTAAAATTTTAAAATTATTAAATTTTTAATGAGAAAGACTAAAATTGCACAATTATGATATTTGAGAGATTAAAATTGTTCAATTAAAAATTGTGAGACTAAAATTACACAACTATAATCTTTTAAGGACTGAAATTACTCAATTAAAACCTTAGAGATCAAAATTGCATAATTATAATATCAAAAACACAATTAAGTAAAAAATATTTTATTCACAGTTTTGGAACGGGTCGTTCTGAATCCAGAACGGGCTGTTCTGAATCCAGAACGGGCCGTTCTGAAATCAGAAGGGGCGTTCTGAAAGCAGAACGGGCCGTTCTGTTTTAAGAACGTCCCGTTCTGCTTCACTGGTGGTGTTTTAATTTTGCAACCAGAACGGCCCGTTCCGGTTTCAGAACGGGCCGTTCCGGTCCAGGTGTTTTCAAAAAAAAATCTCATCCACGTGGATGCAACCTATGCATCTACGTGACATCTACGTAGCCAAAAGGTAACTCCGTTTAAATAATTTGGACGGAAGTCCCACATTAAAACTAATTAATTAATTTGGGACTAAATTGAAACCAATTAATTAGTTTGGGACCAAATTGAGACAAAAAATTAATGAGGGACTAAATTGAAACAAAAAAAGATTATAAGGGACCAAAATAAGTTTTTAGCCTATAATCAATTTATAAAATTGTTGTTCTGCATATGAGTCATTTAAATAAATTAGTTAATTATTGTAAAAAAAAAATTTTGTTGAAAATAATGATATAATATATATATATATATATATATATTTTTTTTTTTCTTCTTTTCAATTTACCAGCACGATATGCCAACTCGTTTTCAACAAGCAGGCCAACTTGCCTTGCCTAGTTTTTAAGATGATGGGTAAAATGTGTTGGATTGCTCCATTTTATCACCCTGCATATTTTTGTAAAGAATTATTTTGTTTTAAGCTCCACTGAGATATTTTTCCTTGTAATAAGCACTCAGTGTTTTTTTTTTTTTTTAAAGGTTTGAATGCATTCTTATGTTACTATATCTCAATCGTTGTAGTAATAGAGCAACTTTCAAAATGCTTGTATCTAAAATCTATTTGTTGCTAACTTTTTCATTATGATATTTTTAAGTTTTTGCTTATGTGGCACTATTCATGCTGTGCAGTTGCCTTATAGCCCGTATCTTGCTTTCTGACTTGAAGACTTGCTTGGAGGTAGCTAGGTACATGTTTTCTGGCGGAGAGTCGATGCCCCATGGATCCATACCAAGTTCAATGATGGATATAAATGAAAAGATTAATGCAGAGTCCTCAGTGAGAATTTAAAGCATTTATTTACTTATCTTCTTTGTGTTTTTCTTCTGTTGTTTTAATAATTTTTCTACAGAAGTTGGGAGAAGTGGTTTGATGATGATGGGAAGTTAGAGTCTTCCACACATACTGTGTAACATTATAGCCGCACACTGTTTAACATTATGTTTGCTCGAGGAAAATAGAAGATGAAAGGAAAAAATGAGTTGATTTTATGTATTTGGTAGGAACTAAAATAAAAGAATATTAGATATGTAGATAAAATAAAAAATATATGTAATAAAATAAACAATGTGTCAAATTACTAAAATAAGGACATTTAGTCTTTTAATTATAAGTCACCCATTCCTTTTTTTTTTTTCCCCTACTTTAAAGTGGAAGAACTTCAATTAGTTTTGGGTCTCATCTTTCGAAACATATCCAATTGTGGAAAGGAAAGGGAAAAAGAAGTACATTTTCTAAGTTGGTCATCGAAGGTTTACATAGATATCTCTTCATACAAACACACATCTCTTCATGCACTAGTTATTTATATATGTATATTTTTATATTAATATGATATTATTTATTTTTGACATAATTCTTATATAATTTTATTTTTCGTTATCTTTTAAAAAGTTTCATACTTACGAAGATTATAATTTTATAAATGATTTCTTTTCATGATCTAATAACTTTAGACTTTGTTTGTACTCCAACATTCTATTCTTCCATTATCAATCTTTTCATATTTCATCATTCCAAATATACATTAAATTATGATGCAATTTATTAAAGGAAAAAAATTTAGAAAAATATCATAACTGTGTTATGAAATTTCTAGCTCAAATAACATAATCAATATCAACATCAGTAGTTGATAAAATTTAAATTCTTATCATCGATTAGGGACTTTCCAAATTTTATATTCTGTGTTGGCCAATAGGAAGGGACTGGATTAAACTTTTAAGCCGATGTGCAAGTGTACAACATTTGTACTCTAAGACTCTTGGTAGTTAAGCCTGTACAGCACTTGTCTTAACAAATTTTTAAATCACTTAAAGGAAAAGCATACTTACAAACGTTCAGAAGTTGACACTTGAATATAAATTTGCAAACATCTGCTATTTAAATTTAGGGTTTAGAGTTTAAGAATGTTGTGTTATTTTGATCATGTGAAACTACTTTTGAATGTTGGTTATTTTGATAGGACAAAGAAATGGCATCAAAATCGAAGTCGCAACGAAAAAAGGGAAAACCTAGAAAGTTCAACTACTCTCGGAAATCTGCTGGGCTCCCTCCTAGATTGAGAAAAATTGCTTATGGGGAAAGCCTATGTAATAAGCAATATAGTCCTTGTGGGTGTCACGGAATGTGTGGAAAGGAATGTCCTTGTCTTCTTAATGGAACTTGTTGTGAAAAATATTGCGGGTATGTTGATTTTCTTTTAACAACTTGTTCTTAGCCTTTTCTATTCTTGAAATAGACAAAATACTTGCAAGATATTTCAAATTTCTCCTGGCCATGCGTTGCTCTATTTGAATGATTTTGTTCACAAGTCTAACGAGGTGGATATGGTTGCCTTGTGAAATGTAGTCTTTTTTTCTCTAAGCACTTTAAATCTAAAGGAAAGAAGTATGATTTAATTATAACCTATTAAATTATTTTTTTAAAATGTGATAAGTTAGTTGTTTTTATTTATTTATTTTTATTTCTACATTCAGGTGTTTTAAGCTTTGCAATAACCGGTTTAGAGGATGTTATTGTGCTAAGAGCCAATGTAAAAGTCGACTATGCCCATGCTTTGCTGCTAATCGTGAATGTGACCCAGATGTCTGTCGAAATTGTTGGGTCAGGTAATATCATTATTGATTTATTTATGTTGTGCATTTGAACTTGATTTCATGCAGTCTAGTTTCTTTTATTAATTCATTTCTTATATTTTACTTCACCTTGTCGAGAAAGTCATAGTTAAGGAAATGTTTCTAGTCTTGATAATTCAATAGCATAACATTTTCTATTACAATAGCATGATCTTATATTTATATATATTACCTATTTTGAGGAACAAAAAAAGGTACATATATCTTATAATTTTTTCTGTTGTTAGTTTAGATAAGTACATACTTTTATAACTTGGCTCGGATTGATCAATCCGACCAGTTCAATCGAAAATTGATCCTATAACTAATTCGATTTAGTTATCGGATCGAATGTGGATTCAACCTAATCATGTTGCCATCAAATCAACAAAAACTGGAGTGAATTGATGTAATTTTCCTCAAGCGAGCTGGGTAAACACGTCTGTAAAGTTCAAATTTTCTCATGCAACACACTTTACAAAGTATGGAACAATCATGCTGCTCAACCTTATGCTCCTAGCCTTTTATCATGCTTCAGTCATGCATGGTCCATCAAATAGTTGGTCATAGTCACATAGCCTCATCAAATCTTGTCTCACCTTTTAAAAGTGAGAATATACAAAAAAATAAAATTGCAGTTAGATGGTATCAATCCATGATATCGGGGGTAGTAAAAGAAGTTGTAGAAAAAGAAGAGCAACCACTAGGACAAATAACAACATTGTTTACTTAGTGACAAACTTATTATATATACTATGTATAATTATTTATATTATATTTATTTATGTAATTTGATCAGTAACCCATTAACCAGTAATCTTGTCGAGTTAATTATCGGTCTGAGTTTTAAAAAACTAGATAAGTATCTTGGCTTCAAACTATATTCATTTGTTTAAATGATATTAGTTAAAAGCATTATAGTTGTATCAACCATTTTAGCTTTAGCTGAATAGAATTGAGATTCATCTTTCACAAATTTAAAAATGACATCTTTTATACAGTTGTGGCGATGGTTCACTGGGGGAGCCACCTCGATGTGGAGATGGTCAATGCGGAAACATGAATATTCTTTTAGGGCAAAAACAAAGGGTTGGATATTATTTTGCTCTTTAAATTATCTACATTTCACCCATGAATGAAATCACAAATACATGAGTATCTTACATAGTTATCCATAAATCTCAGATTCTTTTGGGAAAGTCAGATGTCGCTGGGTGGGGAGCCTTCACGAAGGTTGAGATGTTTGTACTTGATTGTTTTCAAATAGCTTGATAGATGTATTCTCCTCACTAATTGATGATGTGTTTCAGAACCCAATTAAGAAAAATGCTTGTCTTGGAGAGTATACTGGTGAGCTCATCACTCAAAAAGAAGCAGACAAGCGTGGGAAACTATATCATCGTATAAACATTTCATTCCTTTTTAATCTCAATGATCAGGCAAGTGTCTTGTATTGACTACATTTTCTATTAACCTGACCTTGCTCTAGTGTTCAAATCATTTAAGTTTCGAGACTATTGCTAGTTGTTAGTTAATGTGTACAGTTTATAAATATTATTTTTTCTTTAGTTGAATTATGTTGATTTCTTTTTGTTAGGAATGAATGAATGAATTAGAATCAAGGTATTAGTTGTTTGATTAATAATATATTTTACTTTCATAGAATAGGAATGTATACTATATTTTAAAATACCCTTTGAAATATGTGGGAGATACATCAATTTAATTAGTTTCCACTTTGGTATCTAATCTTAATTTGGAAAATAAAAATTTTGGTATCTCTTTGTGGCTGAGAAAACAAAAAGGAACATTTTTATGCAGAAAAATGTTTTCAACAATGACCATTCATGAGACTTTCTTTCCAACAATTACTATCAAGTTGGATGAGGCTAACTATTGTGTTTGGTCTTAAATTATGGTGATATACAATGCTAGATAGTGGAAAAATTATACAGTATAATACGAAAGTTTGTGTGCATTGAGACTGACTAAAACTATGATGAATGAGAGGCTAAAGATGTGCTAGATCAGTCATGGCTCATCAACTCCATGAATGAAAAACTTATATCTCATTTTGTGCAATGTGGAACAACTAAATTAGTTTGGAATGATATCAAGAAGTGTTATCTTGATGTCTCTTATTCTTTTCAAGTTTATGAACCGATGAAGAAATCGTTCCAATCATGTCAAAGAGGTTCCCACTTTTTGCATTATAATGACTAGATATACATATTTTTGGAACCTGATTATTGTAGACCAAATGATATGAAATGTTAAAATGGTATTTAGAAATTGAAAAAACATGTCACTAAGGTTAAATTTTACATATTCCTTGTTGGTCTCAATCATAATTTGGCTTAACTTAATTAGTAGATAAATCTTAGTTGTCTCTCTTTTAATAAGTTTGGAGGAAGCTTATTCACAAGTTCATCATGAAGATTAGAGACCACTCATCATGTGAACAAATGAAGTATTAAAAGCATCGACTCTTTTTTTCCCAAGAGAACAACTCTCGACTAATAACCTATTCTCATCCTCTAGCCTTTCTTCTCATTTCTACACTCATTGCTCCAGTATAATGGTATAAACTCAAGCAAGTCGAAAGTAAAAAACAAAAATTATTATTTTGGTTGTAGGTTTTCCTCCATCTTTGGCTCTTATGTAACTTAGTATTACAAGTGAAGGTATTTTTAGTTTGACTTTCATTTTTTTCTCCTAACTCTTCGATTATTGATTTAGGGGGTTACTAATCACATTATTAGTAATTATTTTTTTCTAAAATCTAAGTCCTTTATTTATGAAGTTTGTCTAGGTTACAAATTGAGCCCTTATGTCAATCTCTATATATTTATAAATCTTAGGTTGGGTTAATTGATTAGAAATTGATTAACCTATTACTCAACTAAATTATAATTGGGTCAGCTATATGTCCAACCAACCCAATGACCCAACTCAATTTTAATTGGGTTAGGTCATGTTAATAGGGTTCATGGGTTAATCTTGAATTGCTTACACTCCTAATTGTCACAAATAATAACCTCTGTGACCTAAGGGAACTTCAAGACTATTTAGTTAGGAAATTTGAAATGAAGGACTTAGAAGATCTAAAATACTTCTTTGGCATTGAATTATCCCAATCTAAGCATATATATTCTCCCTCGTAATGTAAATATACATTATATCTTTTGTTTAAGACAGACAAGTAGACTTGTTATTGAGAAAAATCATGGGTTAAATATTTATTTGGGTTAGACTCCAATAAACTGAGATGTCAAAGGTTTGTGGACAAGTTAATTTATCTACCCTACAAAAGACCCGACATTTCATATGTTATTGGTGTTATGAGTAATTTTATTCAAAATCCTAGTGAAGGGCACATGAGTGCAGTGAATTGTATCTTGGCCTACCTTAACTCCTCACTGGGAAAAATTGTTAGTTTTGTGAATTTAGATTTTGTTGGGTCTAAATTGGATAGAAGATTACCACAAATTATTTGTCATTTGTTGGGGACAATTTGGTGACTTAAGGAAGTAATAAATAAAATGTGGTTTTATTGTTTGCTATAAAAGTTGAATATCGTTATCACCATTATGCGACTATAAAGCTTACATGGGTGACATTCTTCAAACTAAACTTGAGTTTGGTTCAAAAATTAGTCAATATGATAACCCATGTCCTTAGTGATCCATTCTAATTAATATTCGATAAGTTGGGTATGTAAAATATCCATGGCTATCAAATTGCAAAAATATTCATTGTTTTACTATCTTTTAGTTAACTTTCATTAGTTTACCATCTTGTCCACACCTTTTTCTTGGTGAGTACAATATATTGTAATTTGAAGTTGATGATTTTAAGGTCATTTCTCACACATCTTTCATCAACCTACTATCGAATTTTTCACAGTGGGTTATTGATGCATGCCGCTTTGGAGACAAGCTAAAATTTGCAAACCACTCCTCAAAACCTAATTGCTACGCAAAGGTTAGTTCAAATACTCCAATTTTGAACAAAACATGAAATTTAACCTTTAATCTCAACGATTTGAACTCCATTACAAAATTCTTATAATGATAGAACTATTGTATCTGTTGCATAGGTGATGCTTGTTGGAGGGGACCATCGAGTTGGGATATTTGCAAAGGAAAACATTGAAGCTGGTGATGAGATCTTCTACGATTATTACTATGCTTTAGAGAGTGCACCAGCTTGGGCTCTTCCCTCCAAAGACGAGACTTCAAAGAAAGATGAAGTAGCATCTTCTCGGGGCAAGGCAAAGAAACACCATTGCCGTTAGGAAAACTTATTGGTGAAATATTCATTACCTTTTAATGTTGATGATTTTCCATAATCCAACTTTGATTTAATTTTTAATTTAGGAATCAAATCAATTCCTTGCGTAAGTTATTCTATTGGATGGGTTAAAAATTTCAAGAACACTTACATATTGTTATATGACAAATGAAGAGAGACAATGGTTAAATTGTATAAAAACATAGTAAATACATGGAAAAAGAAAGTTAAAGAGCATTAATAATAAAGTAAGTAATAAAATGAAAAAAAAAATAAGTTTTACTTTCTCATTAGAAGTTTATACATTTCCTCGTATGGATGCTTGAAATTTTATACATTTTTTCACCTAGATTTGTATTTATCTTATAGAACAAATTTGAAAGCTTTTTGAACAAGTTTTTATATAAAGTTTCTATCTTTTGCTTTTAGGAAATTATACTATTTAAAAACAAAGTCAATTAATCGCAAGATAGAAATATTTGTTATCATAAATGAAGACTAACTTACTAAACTACCAATAATTTCTATTAAATTCATACTTCATTTGGTGCTCCCTTAATGCTAATGCGTGTCTTGTTTTGCCACAATATGAACATACCTTGTCCCAATTTTTGCCTCTAAATCCTTGATTATAACTATTTCCTTTTCCTTGAAATTTCTTTGAATCAACAACGTTGGCTAACACATCCTCATTGACAAAATCCCCTTGTCGTTCTTTTTGAATTACCATGGAAGTGGATCCATGAGTAATATTTGAGACTTTACAACTAAGTTACAATCATTAAGACCAGTTGGAAATTTGAGCATGTAATCTTGTTGCTGAAAAATTCTTGAATTTCTCATTGCAAGGAAAAAACATCTAATTGGATAAGCACAATTAGGAATAGGCCTATATCTCTCATAGTCCTCCCAAAACACTTTAAGTTGTGTGAAATAACCGATCACAGTAAGCGAACCTTGCTTCAGTAAATGAGTTTTCTACATTCTCCAAAAAAAAGCACTACACAATGGTCGATGCAACAAAGTTCATGATCTAAGAGTGCACTAATATGTTGCATTGTTCCCAAGTGTGAGTCAAAGTAGTCATTGAAGCTTTTTTGAAGAAGAACACTAATACCATCATAAGAAATTTAGAAGATGAATTCAGGCTAAACGATCATTTTTCTTCATTGATTATTCATAAAGTGAGCTCATGGTGTATTTACTAGTCCCGTGTTTATGTGATAATCCCTCTCACCTTACCAATCAATCTCATAAAAGAATGATCTCCTAATCATTAGTGGGAGCATTACTTGTTGATTTGGAACCATAGGTATTTTCTGAATGTGAGTCATGCAACAAGAACTAGAATAATAAATTTTATAAGAATGAGAAATTAAAATTATAGATTAAGAATTAGAGAACCAAAATTGTGAATTAGATCTTATAAGGAGACTATAAGTACAATTTAGCCAATTATTTATTGATTTTGCAAAACTTAGTTGTTTAGGCTTTTCTACCCTTGATTAACTTGGAAAGAAAAAAATGATAAGGTTGTTAAGATAGTTTACAAAGACGCGGAGTAACATTCATATTATCAAGACAAAATACAAGATTGATTTTACTTTAAATGTAATCTTATTGATGCATTTGAATTTGTTAATCATCATGGCCACACTTGACATTCTTTGAAGATTGTTATACCACAAATTTTCTTAATAGTTGCTTTAGAAATACTAGGCATGATAATCTAACCCGCCCGAACCCGCTCCGATTTGGACGGGAAAAACTCGTGTTTATCGAGTTCGGGTTCGGGTTTTCCCCGATTGATAAAATCGGGGACGGGGGCGGGGATGTGGATGTTAATACCTGCCCCACCCCCGCCCCCCGCC